GTATAATGTAGATAAAATTAATATGAGGTAGCCTGGGGGTGGAATGCACTAGCAGCTGGGAGGGAGTTTCTTCATTTGTAAAACAGGGCTAGACCAGGTTAGTTCCCTTTCAGTTCTAAAGATATGAGGCCCAGAAAATTTAAATTACACAGAAAGAAACAATATAGTATAGCAGAAAGAAGGCTGTATTAGGGTTGAGAGACCAGTGTTCAAATCTTGGCCCTTACTAGCTGTGTGATCTTGAGTAAGTTATTTAATTTCTGAATCTCAGTCTCATGATATATAAAATGGGGTACACAAAGTATTGGACATGACTGAAAAAACTAAACAACAACTAACCCATATGCCTATTTCCTCATCGCTATAAAAATATTTATGAGAATAATCTACATTCATGCTGAAAGGCTCCTTAAACAAGATATGACAAGGGATCAACAGATTTTTTAAAAAATAGCATTCTACCATAGGGGCAGCTAGGTGGTACAGTGGATAGCGCTCTGGCCTTAGAGTCAGGAGGACCTGAGTTCAAACCCAGCCTCAGACGCATAATACTCACTAGCTGTGTGACCCTGGGCAAATCACTTAACCCCACTGCCCCATAAAATATATGTATATGTATGTGTGTGTGTATATATATGTATATGTATATGTGTATATATAATATATATGCATATGTATGTGTGTGTATATATATATGTATATGTATATGTGTGTACATATATATATATATTTATTCCACCATAGACTGTACTTTTAAGTTGCATGAGTGACTGAAAAATGTGGAGAACACCTACCTGCTTGTCTGTTGATTATGTAACCCCAGCTTCAATAGCTCCTCCTGGAGATACTACGAGTACTGTTACCTTTTCCTTTTTTTTTTTTAAGTGAGAAAACCTTAGAGACTGTTAACTATTTTGACTGAAAAGAGACTAGAAAGACTTCTTTCTTGAGAGAATGATTCAAGACATTTCCTGAGAAAACTGAATTTAACTCTTATCCCATAGAAAAGGCACCTTGAAGAGAATTCCTGAGAGACTATGACTGACATCCTGAGAAAATCAAGTGGTGAGTCTGATTCCTGAGTTGAAGAGAGGTCAGTAGTTAGAGGTGACCCCGATTATGATCCTTCTCTCTGTGATTCAGTGTTAAAATTAAACGCACGTGCTCGTGTGTGTGTATGTCTTCTTTTGTTACACTGTCAGTAAATTGTAAAGCCAGTGACAGTGATGTTTATTTAAGCCCATGAGACTAGGGGATTTGGTACTGAATGAATACCTACTGGGAAAAAGAGTTTCCTTGATTTTATAGATTATGGTATGGGTTAAGAACTAATAGGTTAGAGATACCATGAATTTCTATCAATTTACAATGAAATATTAGAAAATACTCTTTGAGTGTTTTAAGAGCTGAATAGAAAATAATGTAATAAATCAAGGAGCAGGCATTGGAGGGTAGGGAAGAAGACTCTGGTATATATGGTTCTCAACTAGTGTAATGCGCGCTACAGAGTCTAGGGGTATCAGCCTTAAAAACCTGTGATGACTGACAAAAATGTATGACTTCACTCATGTACAATCAGCTCTGCATCCCGATCCTAGGTTTGTAAATAAAGCAGAGAAATGTTTTTTCCCATGAGCTTTTGCTCATCTCTCCCAATATCAAACCTCTCAGTCTCATAGGCTAAAATAAATATCAATGCAATGGCTATACAATGTATTAAGAGTGTAACAAGTGATATAAACACATTTTGATATTTTAATAATATATCACGGAAAGCACACAACCAGAGTCGCTTCCCACCATCAACTGCAACTACTGACCTCTTTCAACTCTGGAAACAGTCTCACCACTTAACCTCTCTTAGAATACCTGTCCCACACCCTCAAGAGTTCTCTTCCTGATATCTTCTCCATAGAAGAGTTAAATTCAGTTCTCTCAAGAATTATCTCTCCAGACTCCTCTCTACTTGGTCTCTCAAGTAAGAAGTACCTTTAGCCCTTTCTCTCTTCCCTCAATCTGCCTCCAGTAATGACAATTAAGTCCCTAAGGCAGTAAATTGCCTTTATCCCAGATTCTACTTCTTCTTAAAGAAAAAGTAACAATATCTATATTTTATATAGAGGGGCTATTGAAACTGATTATAAAAAGCATTCAGTTTGGTAATGCAAAAACATCTTCAAGGCTCTTCAACATCAATGTGTTTCCTATGCAGATGTCAAAATCATACAAGATTCCTTGAAAGAAGTAACAGAGATAATTCTATTAAATGACATTCTGATGATTAAGTCAAAGTAAGGCATAAAACTAGGAGCTAGAGATATTCTTGACATAGATTTTACCATCATTATAGAGAGATACTCTACATAGAGCCCAAATGAAAGAGGAAAACCCTAAAGATGGTAAGGCCACCCAGATGCTCCTGTTTATATAGATGACATTGTACTAATGACATCAAGATCCCAATTACAGCAGAGTTTCCTAAATAAGAGTCATGGGGGCACCTAGGTGGTACAGTGGATAGAGAACTAGCCCTGAAGTCAGGAGGATCTGAGTTCAAATCTGGCCTCAGACCAAACACTTGACACTTACTAGCTGTGTGACCCTGGGCAAGTCACTTAACCCCAACTGCCTAAAACAAAAAAGTAAAATAAAACAAAATAAAGCAAAATAAATAAATAAATAAGATTCATACTCTCAAAGAACTCAGCCTAACTATCCACACCTGAAACACCGAGGAGATGAAGAATGCCTATTGTCTAGAATAAAATATGTGGTTGATGGACAGCCCATGGTACCTGGCCCTTTACTGAATGCTCCTTGGGCAAATACTATTGATGGATAGGGAAGCAGGCCTGGAACTGAATAGAAAGAGAGAAGCTGGCTGAATCATCTTTGAAAATATGGACTGGAGATTTAATAACCCCAGATTTTTCCTGAAGCAAAGGTCAACTTTTGAAAAACAATATTCTTCGGGTAATGTTGTATTGTTACAAGTCACAGAATACACAGTGTCCAATACTTTAAAGTTAAAGGCCACCCAAAAGGCATATGGTGGGTATGAATAGCCTGTAACATCATACCAACAACATATCATTCAGGAAAAGTAAAATCAAAGACATCATCACAAACACAGAAAACAGTTCTTCCCCCAAACAGAGGCCAAGAGATAACTGGGGCGGGGATGATGTGATGGAAAGAGCATGGGTTTGGAGTAAAAGGACCTTGGTTCAAATCCTACTTTCCAATACTTCACCTCCCCTCAATTTCCTCATAGGGAAAATGAGAAGGGTGCACTAGATAGCCTCAAAGGTCCCGTAGGGCTCGGGTACCATGACCCTTTGATGAACAGACTGCATGCTCCACTGGTTTCCATGCAATGCCAAGAGATCTGAAGGGAGAGCCTCTGGTATGTTTTATGGACCCTTGGGGGAAGATTTAAAGACTCCCAACAGACTGTGAGTTCCCTGAGAACAGGGAGTGCTCTTTGCCTTTGTATTCCCAACTCTTAGCACAGTGCCTGGACAGAGTGGCTACCTTAGTGAATTCATGTGGATGACTTAAAGAGTTACTGAAATTTGTAAGACTGGAATGAGTATATATGTGTGTGCATGTGTATGTACATACATACATATATGTTTTGTGTGTGTGTATATATATATACATATATGTATTATATATCGCTAGATTATATATCTAGAATCGTTAGGTATGTACATGTGCCCATACACATATCAATATGTATGTATAAACATATATAAGTGTGCATGCATGTGTGTATTATATATACACATATGTGTGTATGTATATATATATACATACACATATATATATCAACAAGATCACCAAATTATTATATATATGTAGAAAGAGGCAGAAACCAGTGAAATCAAGTCAGAAATCTATCAACCCAAGTCCCAGAGCCCTATCAACCCTAGACCTATGCCTTCCAGAATTGCACTGGCCTCCTGAGGCCATTAAGGAGGCAGAAATGCTACGGGCATTCTATCAACAACTGTAATTAGGGAGGAAATCAAGTGATTCATCATTTCTATATACCCTTAATTGAATTTTATCACCTGGGCTGAGTGGCAGCTCAGGAAGAACAGATGAGATTAAAGTAACAGGTATGTTATTTGCTGTGGGGACTACCAGGTGACACACATGAGTCAGCACAAATAATCTCCCATGTCACTGAGTGTGTCTGTAAGATTTATAGTTGAGGCTACAAAAAAAAAAAAAAAGAGGGTACGGAAAGATTCATTGGCTTGAGTGGACTAAAGGGCTGACCAAACTGAATAGTGAGAAAAAGCCAAGGAGACAGATTGAAGCAAAAGGAAAGAAGGAAAGAAAAGGCATACAAGAAGGAGGACCAGTTTTAAAATGGGAGAAGGAAGAACATGAAATGTTCTAAAAAAAAAAAAAAGGATAAAAACAGACTCAAGAAAGAGAGATGAAAGGAAACGGCAGTCTCAGAAATAAAGTCAAGTGGGGCTGCTAGGTGGTGCAGTGGATAGAGTACTGGCCCTGGAGTCAGGAAGACCTGAGTTCAAATCTGACCTTAGAGACTTGACATTTAGTACCCGTGTGATGCTGGGCAAGTCACTTAACCCCACTGCCTAGGCAAAAAAAAAAAAGAAAAGAAAAGAAAGTCAAGGTATAATCCAACAAGATTCAAATTCTTGGGATCATTTACCCAGGAACGCTAATTAACTCTAAAATGTATTGTACATTTTCAAATTCCGCTGTTTTTTTTTTCTTTTTGTCAGAGTCACTAAAAAAATCATCACTGGGGAAGAGGGACATGTGCCCTCAGCATTTCCAAGTCATTTAGGAAGATCTAGGAAAGATTTTTCAGAGCAACTAAAGACTTAGGAAACAAACTCCAGGTTCCCCTTGCCCTGGCTTAAATCGCCACCAGTTACACCTTCCTGTCCCTCCAGCTCTCCCCCGCCCCTTCCCTCCCTCCAGGAGCTGGCAAGCCTGGCCTTGGTAACACTCACGCAGGTGTGCTGGCAGTCTGATAGAGTCCTCCTCCATCCTGATGGCTTGAGGCACTGGGACATGAAGAGGAGTTGAGGAAGAAGTATAATTTGGCACCGGGCTCTCTGGAGGGGTGTATGAAATTCTCTCCTGCTGTTAAAAATAAGAGCAAGAAAAGAAGGGAGAGGGAAAAAGAAGGACAATGTGAACCTTCGAATGGAGGAGTAAAAACAATGAAGGGAAGAGGGAGAGTGGGAGGCATTTCATGGATGGGGTCAGCCCAGGACTCCCTAGGATGATCTGCTGCTTCCTATTAAGCTTCCCCATGCTGGATCTGTCCAACTACGGATGATGCTCTTTCCCCTAATCTGGCTTGAATAACACTTGAATATGGCCTGCACAAATTATTTGGCTATACCCATATATGCATTTTCCTTTCAAAGAGATCTGATTTAAAGTAGTGTGGCCTATATTCCAACCAACAAGGTGGCTAATTTTTAGATTCCCTAGAGTTTATGAGTTTGTAGGGTAACATCGGGAAGCTTTTTTCCTTTTGAAGTGGAAAAATAGATACCCTTGTGGTTTCCTTGGGTAAAGTAAGAAAGGAATGAAGGGGAAGTTTTCAGTAATAGGGCTTAAGGAGTAGTTTCTCAAAATCTCTTCCAATTTACTATAAAATAAATACATTAAAACTAACAATTTCCTAAGGTGGAGTGCTATACTCACAATTAACAAAACCATGCAAAACAGCTTATGCTTACAGTGGCATATGGTAAATAATCTGGAAAATTCTAACTTTTCTGCCAAACTGCTTAAATTGCCATTAAAAAAATCTCAATAACATTTAGCTCTCCTTTATGATAGGTAAATTTTTACAATATTAATAATGATCTCTTTCTAGTTTTTCCCATATCTCCAAAATCAGTATTTTCTCTTCCTTAATACAGTGAATTTCCAGGATTAAGCCTGCAGTATTTAACTGGACATTCATTTGACCTAATAAGGAAGGGTAAAAAAAAAACCCAAAACTTTGCCTTAGCTCCACAGCTAAACTCCAACAACCAGTATTTGCCAAATGAAAAAGAATAAATGCCTTTTTAAAAAATGCCCCAGTGTTTAGCACCATGCCTTGAATATAAACAAAGCTGGTGAGGGTAGAAAGGATTCTTTTTCTTTTTAAAGTAAAAATGGTACAAATAAAGGTGAATAACCCACTATTGTGTCAATGCAATCTGTGCCTAGGATCTATGCACCAAGCACCTCACTCCCACCCAGAAATTTCCCTTTCCCCCACCTTAGGAAGTTCCCAACATGATGCAGAGAATTTTGAACATAACTTTGATTTACTATCCAAGCTACCATAAGCAGAACCACAGTGCTAGGCACCAAAAATTAGAAAGAAAAATCTGTAAGATATCATTATAAAAATAAAGGCAAACAAACAAAAACCCAAGAGTAACAGAAAATTATATTTTGGGGATTATATAAAGCATGAAATTGTATTTTTATTGATATTTTAACAGAAATAATCTATCTGCTTTCAGGGGGAAAAAAATCCAAGCCAGTTCACACATACCACATGCATACTGGAGAGTATCCCTCAGTCATGCCTGAAAATGTGAGAGAGGAGGGGAAAACTGTCATTCTTACAGTAATTCTAGATTTTAAACCTGAAGAAACAGAAAGGGCTCCTGAAGGAAATACAGAATAATGGGAAGTTGGAGGCCCCGGAGATCATCTACTCCAACTACCTTATTTTACAGCTGAGGAAACGGAAGTCCGAAGAGGGTAATGAGCCACTTGCTTAAGATCAGGCTGGTTTGTTTTTTTGACTGTGTTCCCAAGTGTTTCTGCTAGTCAGAGGCTGAATGTCCAACTTGAGAAGCTGCTGGAGCATTACAAACTGTTCACTTTTACAAACAACACCCTATCGCTATGTAGATCCCTTGAAGCCTGGGTACTGGATTTCTAAGATATACGAGACACCCAAGGAAAGGTCACCCAGAGGTGAAATAACCACCTTTCTGCATATACCCAGATAACACAAAGATCACTGGATTTAAAAGTCAGGCAAGCCAAGGGTTGACTCCCATTTCCAACACTCACTGCCTACATCAATACCATGGTCAAGACATACAACCCGTCAGAGTCTCATTCACTCATCTTTAACCTGGCCTAATTCAGCTAGGGGGTGCAGTGAAAGAGCCCTGGACCTAGGGTCAGGAAGACTTATCTTCCTGAGTTCAAATGTAATCTCAGAAACATACTAGCTATGTGACCCTGGGCAAGTCACTTAACCCTGTTTGCCTCAGTTCCTCATCTGGAAGATTAGCTGGAGAAGGACATGGCAAATATCTTTGTTAAGAAACTCCCAAATGGGGTCAGGAAGAGTCAGACACGACTGAAAAATGACTGCACTGAATAGTACCTATTTCACAAGGCCACTGTGAGGCTCCAAAGGAGGTAACAAGGGTGTGCTGGGAAATACTGAACAATCATTTCTCTAGAAAAATGTACTGTACTCATGACACCCTTTTAAATTTAATCTGCATTATTTACATTTCTCCATCACTTTCTTAAGTCTAGACAATCAACAATTCAAGCTCTGATCTGTAGTACTGGCCAGTTTCCCAGACGTCAATGCTTACATTGAAAACTTAACAAAGGGGATAGATACATCCCTCACACCACTGGAAAAAATGGATTTAAATGTTCAGTAAACTGCAAAGGACTATATAAATGAATGATATTATTATTATAATACAACTTCAGAAATGTGGATGATTTGAGTTGAGAGGGGGAAAAATTACATAAGATTTGTTTAGAAGTTTTGCACAGGTGACAGAGAAATTGGTTTCACATCTCATGTCTGCTACTAACTAGCTGGGTGACCTTGGACAAATCATTTACATTTGTGGGGTTTCAGTTTCCTCATTGGCAAAACGGCAAATCTTTGGACTAGAGGACCTCTAAGGTCTCTTCCAGATCCACATTTATGAATCTATGTTCATAAATGTCTTTCATACCTAGTCCATTTTGGTATTCTTTCTGATTCACAAATTCCCTGTTCTTCAGAGATTAGTTATCCTCCATCTCATTCTCTAGATGTCCTTTTTTTTTTTTAAGTGAAGCAATTGGGGTCAAGTGACTTGCCCAGAGTCACACAGGTAGGAAGTATTATATGTCTGTGGCAGAATTTGAACTCAGGTTCTCCTGACTCCAGGGCCGGTGTTCTATCCACTATGCCACCTAGCTGCCCCTAGATATCATTTCTACTACTAGCTCTAGATATAAAAATAGCTTTTAGGGTTTTTGCAAAAGTGAAACAATTAGTAAAAACACATTAAATTAACTAATTAATCTCATAAACTCCCCCTCCCCCAAAAAACCCCACTATAATGTACATATGCTACAAGAGGAGAAAGGATGGTGTTATGGAAACATAACGGATTTATCTTACCACTACAAAAAGCCATGTGTATCTAAATAGTCTCGAGATGGAAATAACTCCTCCTTCCTCCTCCCAAGTCCTATCTCTGACATCAGAGGACTTGGATCCAAATCTCAACTCTGATGCTTGACTACCTATGGAATCTTCAGAAGGTTATTTAAGATCTCGGTGGTGTAAGGGAGTAAGATAAGGGAGCTGGATTCAGACGGCCTTCGAGGTCCCTTCTAACTAGAGATGTATGAGCCTAAGATCAGATCCAGAAAGGGCACGTTATACTAGGGTTCAATGCCATTTTCACTCTGCTGAGAAACCATCTCGACCACCCAGGCTAATTACTGACAGTCAGAATAGGTAATATTTCTACTTTGGGCAAAGTACAGGGGTTATTCACCATCTTCCTCCTTCTCCCTATGATCATCAATATACACTTTTTGAATCGGAAGAATTCCTGACTAGCTATAGGCATCCATGGGACCAGGCACTGGGTTCTTGAAAAGTTCTTACAGACTTGCATTTCCCAAGTTCTAGAGAGAATTACTTATCTTATGCCCTTAGGCGAGTCATTTAGCCTCTGTTTGCCTCAGTTTCCCCATCTGTGAGGATAATAACAACACCAATCTTCCAGAGTTATCGTGAGGATAAAATGATCATTTTAAAGTGCTTAATTCAGAGCCTGACACACAGTAAGAGCTATAGAAATGTTAACTATTATTATTATTATCATTATTGTCTCTTCTGTGTGACTTTGGGGCAAGGCACTTAACCTGGTTGGGCATCTGTTTCCTCATGTAAAAATGAGGGTCCCTAACTTATGGAGTTATTGGGAGGAAAGTATTCTATATACCCTAAAATGCCATATAAAAGTGAGTTATTACCTCATGTAGTCCTTTTTAATAATGCTGTGACACCATTATCTGGGATGTTGTATTATTTGGATGCTGCAAAATTTTTTTCTCAAATTCATAGACAGATCAAAGTAAATGGCTAAATGAAAGAGAAATGTTTCATTAACGGGCAAGACTTGGACTAAGGGGAACAAATTATATTTAGAACACGCACAAGGTACCGTATGGCCCAAAAGTCGGAAATGAACTAACCAAACCTTACAGAGAGGGCTTTGAGGAAAAAGGAATAGGGAGAGAGAGAAAAAAATGAGCATGCATATGTAGGTAGGGCAAAGTGTGGAAAGGATAGCTAAATGAAGCCAAACTGAGTCAGGTCCCAGCTTATCTTCCTTCCCCACCAATCGAGGGCCAAAGAAAGGCACATATTTGATTCTGTTTTTGACAAAATCGAATGCTTTGGAATCTTTGGTTTCTATTTAAGTAAAGCAGGCTTGTTGATCCACTCCTCTGTAGGTGAAGATGCGTCTTGTTTTAGGAAGACTTAGTATACTCTAGTGCCCTGCCTCTAACCAAATTAAGGAACAGAAAAATCTTAGAATAGATGACTCTTATTAAGAAAAGACTTCTGGGTTCTACAAAATGATGAATATACACATGTGTTCCTTAAATAGGATGCTACTTTAGTACATTTAAATGTGTGTCTACAGACCATTAACTACTTGAAAAAGCTGAGACAAAGCCAACCGTCAATTGAATATCACTTTAAAATGTGGCATAATGGAATAAGCACTGGACTGGTAGTCGGGAAAGTCCTTGCTTTTTATTCCAGCTGACACTTCACAGCATTGTGTGTGATC